GAGTAACTGGTAGCTTCAAATCCTGTGCCTTTAGTATAACTCCTTACCACTACACCACCAGTGCACCCTTTAATGTAAGTAGGGAACTTATTTGGAAAGACTAGTTTCAATTCAACAACATGAATGACATCTCTGATACTGAGGTGTTTTCATTGACTATGTTAGGTGCCATTTTCCTTCATTCAACTGTGTTGATGTGTAGCTTCCTTTGTGAGGCCATCAGTGATATAATCAACCAGAAAGAAATATGGATACTAAACTAATCAGCCACAAAGCTCACATTCAATAGACCACTTGGCCACTGTCTATGTGAGGCAAACTTGGACATTGCTTAGTTATATGGAGGTAGGACAAGATTATCTGCTCCTCATATTAAGGGAACCAAGTTAGTGTGGAGAGTGAAATTTGAAAATCTATATTTTGGATAACTGACACCAGAGACTTTTTTTGAGACTAATAGCATGATAATGTGAATTCATGTGAACATTTGAACTAGGAATAATGGTGGTAAGCTATGATAAATGTATACTGTCCGAATACAAAGTTGTGGGTTTTTTTTTTACTATTAGTGAAACCTTCAAAGTAAAATTTCCTTAGGATTCACTGGATGGTGGGCAAAGGTCCCTGGCTAGCATTAAGTAACCACTATTAATACCTTGGGAGAAGATAGTTGATGTAGAGAGGAGACAGTGAAGAAGAGGTCACCTGTAGTAGGATATGTGACATGTTTTTTCAGGGGAGAATCTTTATGAAAAGATTAATTTAGCATATAGGAATACATTCAAAGGATTGAGATAACAGGGAACTGTGATGTTGTGTTGTTGTTAGGTGTCATCAAGTTAAGTACGATCTTTAACAATCCTGAACCCTGTCCTAGCCTGCACCAGCCTCACAATTCCTGACACATTAGAGTGCATTGTGGCAGTGATTGTGTCAATTCACTAGGATGAGAGTCTTTCTTCCTCTCCTTTGCTGACTCTGCAGTTTTCTAAGCCTGATGTCCCTGTCCAATGAATAGGCTCTCCTAGCAACATGCCTGAAGTATGTGAGGCAAGGAGCAGGACTCTGACTATCCTTCCTCCAAAACATATCTGTTCATTTGGCAGTTGATGGGACGTTTATGTGGTGTTACTCTTCTCCAATACCACAGCTCAAAGACAAATTTTTCTGTTATCCTTATTCATTTTCCAGCTCTCAGATGCATAACAAGTGATCAGAAAGACCTGGCCTGAATCAGACACATATTAATCCTTGAGCTGATATCCTTGCTCCTTAATAATTTGGTGAGGTTCCTGACTACAGACTTTCCCAGTGCGATATGCTGCCTGATTTCCTGAGGGCTAGTACTAAGGCTGTTAATTGTGAATCCAAGTTAAATGAAGTTGTTGACAGTTTCAATCTTTTCTCCATTTATCCTATCAGGATATTGCATTATCGATCTAGTGGTAAGAATTTTCTTGATGTTAAGATGCAATCCATGTTGAAGGCTGTATTCTTTGATCTTCTGCAACAAGTGTTTCAAGTCCTCCTCACTTTCAACAAGCAAGATTGTCATCTGTATAACACAGGTTATTGTTGAGTCTCTTGATGCCATGTTCTTCTTCAAAGAGTCCATCTTCTTAAATAATTTGCTCAGCATACAGATTGAATAGTCATAGAGAGAGAATACAACCCCGATGCACTCACTTCTTAATTTTAAACCATGTAGTGTTCCCTTCCTTTATTCACACAAAAGCTTCTTGGTCTAGGTATATGTTTCACATGAGCACAATTAAGTGTTCTGGGATTCCCATTCTTTTCAATGTTAGCCATAACTTGTTATGATCCACATAGTCAAATGCCTTTGTGTAGTCAATAACGCATAAATAGACATTCTTCTGGTAGTCTTCACTTTTAGCCAGGATCCATCTGACATCAGCAGTGATATCCCTGGTACCATGGCCTCTTCTAAATTCTACTTGATCTTCTGGCAGTTCCTATCTATGTACATACTGTTCTAACCATTTTGAATGATTTTTTGAAGTATTTTGCCTGCATGTGTTATTAATATGTTATTACATAGCTTCCACATTCTTTTGGATCACCTTTCTTGGGAATGGGAACAAATCTGGACCTCTTCCAGTCCATCGGACAGACAGCTGTCTTCTAAATTTCCTGGCATGGATTGGTGAGCACATCTGGGGCTCTATTAGTCTATTAGTTGAAACAGGTCAGTTGGTATCCCATCCATTCCAGGGGCCTTATGTTTCTTAAAGCTACAGGAAACTATAACGTCAACATTTATATTTTAATATATAATTTATTTTTATTGTTGTTTTGTACCATCAAATTGTAACCAACTGAGCACTGACTTTGGAGCAGATTTTCAGAGGCTGTAGATTGCACAGGAGGAGATAGATTATCTTTCTCTCATAGCGCACCTGGTGGGTTGGAACCACACGCCTTTGTGTTGGTAGTGCAATTCCTTACCACTAAGCCATGAGACCTCATATAATTTGTAGTATTCCAAAATTAATTTTCTGCAGAATCATAATTATCAATTGCATTGATATTCTTTGATTTAGGATCATTATGAAAAACACATTTAATAGATGCTATCCATCAAAATGAGTTACCTGCTGGTGCATGTCGTTAGCACACTGGTCCGTTAATGGAAAAGTCAGACGTTAAGGGCTATCCAGCGACACTTTGTAAAAGACCTGGTGATCTATTTCTAAAAATTCAGCTGCTGCAAACCTTGTAAAACACATTTCTGCTCTAATGAATGTAAATTTGCCATGAGTCAGAATCTACTAAATGGAAACTGATTTTTGTCCATCTAAAATGGACCTAACTTTAACTGTATGCTAATTAGTGTTAGTGTTGTTATATTTGGAGAAACATTCTTCTACTTTGTACATCACTTTTTGTCAATTTGCTGCACTGAAGTAACCTGGGTTTGCTGTGATGCTGAACCTTGTGCCATTGGCGTATCAAATACCATAATGGCTTCTGTGAACAGTGTTTGGTGGAGCTCCCAGATGTAAAACAGGTTTGGAAGCAGAAGTGGCATCCAATTCCTAAACCACATGCCTATGGAAACTCTATTAAACTGGAGAAATGATTAAAGTTATAGAGAGGTATTAGGTCTTTTGTTCATAAAGTTGCTATGAGTCGTACACACGACTAGACAGCAATCAACAACAATTTGTTGTTAAGCGGTGGTGGTGGTGGCTCAGTGGTAAAATGTTGTACTGCCAAGCCAAGGATATGGGTCAGAATCCATTAGCTGCTCTGTGGAAGAAAGATGAACACTCTTCTCCTGTGCAATTTACAGCCTCTGAAAACCTGCTGGAGGATCAACTATGAGTCAATTTTGACTAGACAATACACAACAATAGAAATTTATGTTAAAATAGTACAATGAAACCTGTAAGGGCCTGAACTTGAAGAAACAGCCTTGTTTTTTCCTGGTCTTGAAAATGTCCTTTGATCCGATTCAATCTTACTACTTTTCTGTCTCTTGCTTTTGTGCAAAATAATTGAGTTTTTCTGCTCTGAGAGGCTTCTTAATTATGCAAGTTCCGGTTTTTATAGACTTTAATGTGTATTTTCTTTAGTATTTTTAATAAAAAAAATTAAGATAGTCAAAGAATTAATAAATTTCTGAGTCATGAAAGATTTGCAGGGTATAAGGTATGTTGTCTAGACAAGTTAAACCTCCACCTATACAGGAAAATAGGGTGTTGACTTATCTTAAGATTTGGGTGTGCCAGTTTACTGTTGTGAACAGAAAGTCTTAGGCAGGTCAAATTACTCAGTATCAATCTTAAGCTGGATGTATTTTTTAAGTGACCATACACTGTAATATTTTTATTTAATAGAATAGTGATTGATGAGAGATGTTTTGTGTGTGTACATAATATTAATTTTTAATGCATTTTTATTTCTGTTATAGTTTGAGTTTCTGAGCTAAAGAATAATTTTTATTAAAAAAATACATTCAATCATGGAAATATTTTTTTTAAGCAACGTAATTAAAGGCTAAGAGTTGTTGACGTTTATTCAGAAATAATTTCGTGAGCAGGAAAGGAACTTTGAACCAATGGGTTTTCCCTCTTTCATGCAGCTATGTTATTAACCAAGACAACTTTCTCCCCTTAGTTTTCTATGAAGGGAATTAAGGAAGTATTAAATGTGTGACTTTAGGAAGGTGTCAAGGCATGCTTTCCTTTGACTTTGTGAAGAGTTGCCTTTTCCCTTCCTAGCAGTAAAGATGTGTGTTGCCTTTCAGTTGTGGTGAGAACTTCATTAGGGAACAGGAAAACTGGGGACAGAAGTTGTACCACAATTTATATTAAACATTTGCCAAAGGCAGGCAAGAGGTTCTTTGTCAGGCTGAGTGACGGAGACTTCTACCGGTTCTCCTTGTGGAGGGGATTAGCTGTTGAACAAATTTGCAAGTACAGCATATAGTTTTGTCAAATATACAATGACATTTCTTTTCACTGCTCTCTTGACTTTGTACTATTTAGCTATCCTCAGTTGTCTCTTAATTTGCTTTTTCTTTCTTTAATCCCCTTGAAAGATAACTTTTCTATAATCAGCTTCTGTGTTTAGACTTTTTTTTGGGGGTTGGTTTGATTTTGAATTGTGGTATAAAATTGGCATTATTGTACTATATAAAACCATTATTGGAGATTGAAAATAAGGAGACAAGCGGGAAAGGGTGGAAGCAGAAGGTTGAGGATGTGTGGGGGCTGGGGGGCTTAACCATGAGTTTGCAAAATTTGATGGGAGGGCGATAGGGAAATGGAAAGGAACTTGTGTGAGAAACAGGTATTCAAATTTTGTAAATAAACTGGTATAATAAAAAAAATGGCTTTTTTGTTGCTGTTGTTTTGTTTTTTAGTTTAACCTGATTTGGTAATCTACATAGTCTCTTTTAATTACTGAAATTGTGGAGCAACACAAAGCCCAGTTAACTAACTTCTGTTTTTTCTTTCCCTGGTCCTTTGTAGGCTAAGAAATGGCATTTCAAAAGGCAGTGAAAGGGACGGTTCTGGTTGGCGGAGGAGCTCTTGCCACTGTTCTAGGCCTCTCTCAGTTTACTCATTACAGGAGGAAGCAAGTAAGTAACTATCCATGTGCTGTGTGTAATAAGAAACTTAAATCTGGTGAGCAACTCTGAATGTTGCCTGAGTTTGCTAATGGTTTGTTAGATATTTCTGGTGAAACTCCTGTTTGATTCTAAGACACTAATTTAGAGTACTGCACTTATAATTCTTGACCACTGTGTGTATCACATTTTTCAGAAAGTGAAATTTTTATTTAGCCACCTTCCTCCCCTTAGTCTCTTCCCTGCCCTGTAGTTCCCCGAGACTGCTTCATGTATCAGTGCCAGGGTTTGTTCATTTAGACTTGCCTTGTCTAGCTCATCTAAATGTTCTAGATACCTTCTGTGTTCCTGCCAAAATTTTGTCTTATTAGAAGGCAGGCAGATGAATAAGGAAGTGGGAAAGAAAGGGCCTACACAGAGGGGCTGACTCAGAATCATGATTTTACTTCTTAACTGTGTATTTACCAAAGTATCACCTTGTTTTGGGTAAAAAGTAGTGAGGAAGTTATGACAATAAGATTGGTAGAAAAATTTCAAGGAAATTAATGTGCACAGTTTAGTTTCATTTTTGCATTTTTTTCCTCTCTCTTTGCATTGTAAATATGCTTTCCCATACTTTGACATGATGCCAAGAAGTGATTTAGCTGAATGGTCTTATTCTGTTCTGGCTTGAAATGCCAGTAACAACCTCAGTATTTAATACTGGGTTTCCTTTTCTTCAGTGTTAGTGTGGTATTTCATGATGCTACCTGGGTGATGTACTACTGAATCGTTCACAGATGGAGGAGAAAGAATTTGAGAAATGTTTATAGGTAGACCACCTCTGAATTATCTATTTTTTACGTTTTGGTCATGTTGAAGCAGTGGAAGAGATTTGTGATGGCATAGTTCTTAGAGAATTGTGCTGCTAACCTCAAAGCTGAGCCTTCCTAGTAGTTTGAATCCACTGATGGCTCCCCTGGAGAAAGATGAACATTCTCTTCCCATGCTATCTGCAGTCACAGAAACCCACAGGAGGGATAACCGAGTCAATTCTGATGGATGCCAATGAGTTGTTTTTAGTTAAGTCATGGGTTGTAGCTTTTTTGCTTGGAATCTCATATCCTGAATGCACATAAGACTTTTGTTGTTGTTATGTACCACTAAATTGGAACTAACCCATAGCTGACTCACCAGTGGTTATGGGAGGAGAACGCCCTCTTTTGAACCTGGAGAAAGGACTGATAGGGTCGCTATGAGTTGTCTACGATTTGATGGCATTTAACAACAAACAACAACAAGGAACATGGTGACTTTAGAAACACTTATTTTTTAAATTATGTGTTTAAGAACACATAGTGTAAGAAAAGAAGCTCATTTTTATGTGTTCTCATCCTAAAGATAGATAACTTTGAATAGACTATATTAATCTTTGTTGTTCTAAACTGTAGACATGTTATCTTTGAAGTTTGCCTAGCAGTGTATGTTGCAGGTGTTATTTGACTGATTTTCTGTTAAGAGTATCCTCACCCATTGGCTACGCTTCATTCACTGTTTACTTATGTATTTTTTAAATACAATTTTCTTTATTGTTTGAAAATCCCTAGCAAAAGAGTTAAACAATTTCTACATGTACAATCCAGTGACCTTGCATACATTTTTCAAGTTGTGTAACCATTCTTATACTCCTTTTGTGCATTAATCCTCTACTAACACAAACTCATTGCCCCCTAACCCTCTTATCTAACCTTTCTAATTGTTGTTGCCAGTTTGATCCAAAATAGATAATTCTTTAAAAAACCTCTAGTCCTCAAGGCAAATATTCTATTCTAATTAAACTATTGTTTGGTTTAAAGAAGATTTCAGCAGATATTTTTTGCTGTAAAGTTTAAAGGGTATCTCAGGTTAGTAGTTCCAGAGCTTGATAGCTCTAAAAAAAAGGTTTGGATCTCATGATAATCTCTTTTGCATTTTTCTTGCTTATGAAAGCAGGATTCATCCGTATATGTTTTGATCAAAATGATCGGTAGTAATAGCTGAGCACCATTCCAGGGCTAGCATGATAAAGGAGCCAGTTGTTCACAGAGCCAATCAACCGTACATTTTATTCTTGCCTTTTCTTACCTAACTCTCACTCTTGCCCTTTTCCTCCAGGTGAATAGAGGACCACTGCTGTATGTTGTGCAAACTTTTAATTCCCCAAGTACAATATAACTAATTAGAAAGTAAAACAGAAGCATGAAATTAGGCCAGTCAACTAGGATGTGTCTTGAAATCATGATCCTAAACTGTCAAACCAAGAAAAAAGTCTTATGAGAGGGATGTTTGGCTAAATATAAACAGCTTCTTTTTATTTATTTTTTTTTACACCAAGTTATTAAATATTTTATTTTAGAGATGAAATAATTTCACCAGCATTTGATGTACTATGATAAACATTGATTATCTTTGTAATCAGTAAAATGAATGATGATATCTTTATTTTTAGGGAGAAAATAATTCTAGGTGATTCAATACAAATAAGTAAAACTTAATTGTATTTCTTTAGCTTTATTTATTTTTTTAAATAATTTTAATGAGCATTTACAGAGATTTTGGATTTCCATTCATTCATTGCTGCACTTCTCTCCCCGCCCAGCCCTCCCCCGCTTCTTTTCATTTTTTTAAAGTAGAAGTACATATCACACAACATTGGCTTATTTGGTTTTTGGTAAGTGTACAGCTTAATGATACCACATTTATTGACTGCATAATCACATAACATGTGCCTATTCAAGTTTTTATACATTTATAGTTTAATGATATCATTTATATTAAGTGACTCTGTACGTAACCATTATTCTGGATGAATCCCAAATTTTTCGTCACTGTAAGCAAAAGTTCAGTGCCCCACAAACAGCCCTCTTTCTTTCTGCCTTCTGCCCTGTTAACAACTAACAAACTTTGGTTTGTATACATTTACTCATCTTGTCATTTTATATTAGGCTGTATAACACTTGTCTTATTATAACTTGATTTATGTCCCCCATCTTCAGTATTCATAGTACGTATCATGGCTTCATTTCTCCTACTATATTCTGTTGCGTGTTTGTCCTGTATTTTATTTACCCTTTCATCCATTGATGATGAGCAACGTTTAAGTTGTTGCCGTTTTTTGTCTATTGGAATCACAGCTGCAGTGTAGATTGGTATTCATAGTATTGGTGTTCACATCACTTCTTTTAAGTTCTTGCTGAGTTATACGAGAGTTCTTCTTTTAGTTTTTCAGGAATCTTCACACTATTTTCTACCAGTTCCTTAACAGTGTGAAAAATTGCTGCTTCTTTTGACACTGTTCTCGAAACACAGCTCTGTTTGGGACATAGGCATAAAGGATTGGTTTACATGTTCCTTACCAGTGTTATTTGAAATAATACTGGCAAATGTCAATTACAAAGGTCATGATATCTAATATTATGAGTTGTTGCTAAATTTATATGTGGTCTATGTATTTTAACCACAGTAAGCATGTTCAGAGTTTATATTGTAACTGTTCCTAGGTAACACAGTTTCATATTTTTTGGTTTGATTGTTCTATAATAATTGCTCTTACTTTTAAATAAGTAGAAGATAACTGCTGAATGCAGGCAAGTCAGGTAGACTTTATTAGTAAAATCAAGGTAAAACAGGAGCTTATTGATTCATGGACATTTTTGCTATTTTATCCATCCTAAGTTAGACATTTTGACCAACTTAACAGACAAATGAAATACCAACAGTTTGTAATTATCATTTTATGCTAACAAGTTTGGTTGAGAAAAATCACTACAGACCAGTCAACAAGTAGAATAAGATGTTCATCATGCAATTGTGTTATTTCTTTTGTGGTGATCCTTGTCTTTTTAAGCCACTATGAACTGATATTTTAATGTAAGGTAGCAGATGGCTTGTAGCTATGTGTGGGGTGCGGCCAGGGGCCTGTGAATCAATAACGAAAGCAGAAAGAAAAGAAAAAACACAAGGAGAAAAAAAGACAGAGCCCTGTTTTGAGACATTGACATAAAATGACTACGGGCCACCCTTAACCTAGCTGTCCTCTCTAAGAAAATATCTGCCAATCAAAGCCATTCTAGAGGAGAAAATTTTCCTGACTTCAGTGATAAGTAAAAACCATCCCTTTGCTGAACATTAATTGACTACAGTTTGTGAAAGATGACCAGGCTTGTTTCATTTTTCTGCAAAGTGATCTTTATTCAGGACTGTATACAAGTATTGGAGTTGTTGGTATGTGACATCTGGTCACCTGCGACTCATAGCGACCCTATGCACAGTAGCTTTGAGTCCTGTCCTAGGCTATCCTATCCTGAGCCAATATCACCATTTCTGATACACCTACACCTATAAGCCCTGCTGCTCTGCCAGTCTATCTCATCTGGGGTCTTCCTCTCCTGCACTGTCCCTCCACCCCTCCAAACATGATGTTCTTCTCTAAGGACTGCTTCCTCCTGGCAGTATGCCCAAGTATGTGAGATGGAGCTTCAACATTTCTTGCCTCCAATTAACAACTCGGTTTCTTCACCTTCTCCAGGACAGACTTGTGTCTACCAGCTTCTCTGAGGGAGAAAGATGGGCATTCTCCTACTGTAAAGATTTACAGTCTTGGAAACCTGATGGATTTGAGTTAGAAGTGATTTAACAGTAGTGGGTTTGGTTCAGAATTTGATAGGTAAGGAAGTCAAGGCTTTTGTGTAGGCTCCAAATAGGTTTTCTAGAGGTAGGTCAGGAGTTAGAGGTGACGGTGTTGATTTGTTTTTTAATTGCCTTTCTTCATGCAGCCATACTATTAATATTTTTCTTAGGCAAAGAGTGTCCATGGTTGATCCAAATGAATGTAGAGATTTTTACCCTTTTACTGTGCAAGGATGACACGCAAATTCGTGAAGCACTCCATATTTTTACGGCATTTAGAGCTCTTATACATAAGGTCGCTATGAGTCTCAAGTGACTCGATGGCATATAACAATAACAACAACTCTTGAAGTAATCCCAATGTT